GCCTCTGAGCTAGCTGTCTTTGGTTTTAGAGTGTTAGGTGGTGCTTTTAGGGATTTATAAGACTGAGATTGCTTTGATTGTTTTCGTCAACATTCTCAGTTTGTTAAATTTAAGGAAGTGTACTGTGGTTGCTGGGTGTAGTGGCACGGGCCTTTAGTCCCAACCCTTGGGGGACAGAGGCGGGATGATCTCTTGTGAGTTCAAGGCCAGCCTGGTCTACATAGTGAGTTACAGGACAGCCATAGCTGCATAGTTGAGACTGACTTGATTTAAAAAAAAAAGAAAGAAAGAAAGTGTACTATTATGTTTTGCTCTACTTGTATTTTTGGCTTCCTAAAACTTTACTCTTTCATTTTGTCTCCATTTTATTGACAATTAATACCTTTTTATAGTGTAGACATTACAAAGGACAAAATTTTACTATCTACCTTATAAAACAAAATGAGCTTCTAAATTGTATAGTGTTTGTTTTTTGTTTAACAGCAACATTTTTATATCAGTAAATATAGATAGCAATGCTATTCTATGTTGCATATATTCCTATTCCTTTATATGAATAGTTCATAATTTAAATTCTTGGGTCATCTTGTTAGTCATCCTTTTAAAATTTAATCTAATTTTGGTGGGTCTGTGGTAAGGTCACTTGTTGCTTTTGCAGCAGACATGGGTTAGGTTCCCCAGCACCCACATGGTGCCTCACAGCCATCGATAACTCCAGTTCCAGGGAATCTGACATCCTGTTCTGGCTTCTGAGAACAGTAGACATGCACGTGGTATACATACATGAAGCAAAACACTCACACAAAAAAATTATAAAAATTAATTTTAGTTTTTGAGGCAAATTCTAATGTAGCCCAGACTGGGCTTAGACTCTCTATGTTATAGAGGTTGGCCTTGAACTTCTGATCCTCCTGCTTCCACTTAGGAAGTGCTGGGATTACTGGTCTGCATAACCATATCTTGCCTTACAAGCCACATTCTGAAATAATTTTTTTTAAATGTTAATACATTATTTAAAAAAAAGTAAAACAAAATAGTCTTAAATTGAGGTATTTTATGGCAGTTGTAACTAATGAAGTGAATTTGATAAACTCCATATCCAGTGTTTTGGTGATTTCTTCTTAAGTACATGAGTTCTTAGTATAATGATGGTATTTTAGCAGATTATTTGCTTTATAATGTGTGCGCATGCACACACGCATTAAAAAGTCTTATGTGGGCTAGAGAGATGGCTCAGTGGCTAAGAACACTTGCTGCTCTCCCTGAGGACCTTAATTGGTTTCCCAGCAACCACCTAATTGCTTGAAACTCCAGCTTTAAAGGATCTGATGCCCTCTTCTGTCCTCTTTGGTCATCCCCCACCCCCACTCCCACATGTGCACACACATTTTTTTCTCTTTTATAAAAAGTTCTGTGGAAACTTTTTTTTTAAAAAGTTCTTTTTGACACAGGGTCTCACTTTGTAGCCCTGGCTGACCTAGAACTCACTATGTAGAGGAGGTTGACCTCAAACTCAAGAGATCTGCCTTTCTCTGCCTCTTTGAGTGCTAGGATGAAAGGTGTGCACCACCACACCCAGTGAATTTATTTCTTGCACATTAACCTTTGTGTCCAGATTATAATAACCAAATATTGGCCAGGTAATAGGCTAAGTAAATGAAAATGTCTTCTGTAATTATCACAGCAGTTTTAAAAGGTAGGCAGTATAGTCTATAACTAGATGAAGAAGCCGAGGGAACAGAAGAGTTAAGTAATTGATAACAGGTGGTGATGTGACCAGCAGGCCAGAATGTTACCCCAGACCTGCTCACTTGAGTTGTGAATACTTGCCCAAAGTGGAAATTATCTTCTCTTTTGGTAGAAGGATTTGTTTAGTGGATTCAAACTTCATGATCTCAGGAGTCTGTTTTCACTTTTAAAAGTCTTTGAGAATTTAATGGAGGTATCATCTGTAACTTCAGCACTGGGAAGGTGGGGGAGGGAAGGAACTCCTTCAAGTAGGAGACTAGGCTGTGTGAGATAAAAATCAGATCTCTTTATACCCTGTTACATTAAAATCTTTTGGCTTGTCTTGCAGTTGATTTTACCCATATGTGAATTTTTTAACAAGCATTTATTTGGTCATGTGGTCACTTACAGAGCTTCTAAATGCTGAAACAACAAAGTCATGTTCTGTTTCTAGTGCTCTGTAGTGGTTCACTATCATCCGTAACTCCAGTTCTAGGGGATACAGTGCCCTCTTCTGAACTCCTGAGTTTTCCCTGAGATTCTGTAAAGCTGAAATTTTTTACACGTGCTTTCCCTTTCAACACAGACTATTAAAAATGTACTTGGGGGTCAAGAGTTAATAAAATCCTGGGGGAACACACCAATTTGTTATCCCATACGAAATGGTCAGCTCTGAATACAAAGCAACATGACACAGACTGAGCAGGTTATATTTATGAATGTAACAGTTAATAAAAAAGAGGCCATGAATTTGAAAAAAAGAGCAAGGAGGTGTATATGGGAGGGCTTGGAGGGAGGAAATCAGCTATTAGTTAATTTTGTGACTGTGTCCATGTGGTCCTCATGCTATAGTGCATGTGTAGAAATCAGGACAACTTGAAGGAATTGCTTAAACCCAGATGGTCAGGTTTGATAGCAGGTATCTTTTCTTGCTGGGCCATCTAACAGGCCCAAGAACATTTTAAATGTAATTGGCATTCTTTTTTAAACTGCAAGTGAGGAATACTGTGACTACTTTTTTTATTTGGTGCTATTGTATTGGTTTGTTCTAAGATACCAGCAGTTTTGCTTACTTTTGTTTTTGGACCCTCATTGCAGATGTTAACACAATTTGTGAAGGGCAGGGCCAGTAGAGATGGCTCAGTGGGCTTAAGGGACTTAATGGCCTGAGTTCCATTGCTGACTGGATCCTACATGGTACAATAAGAGAACCAAATCCTGCACATTGCCCTCTGACTTCCATAGGTGTGCTATGGCGCGCGCACACACACACACACACACACACACACACACACACACACACACAAACCCATCCAAAAATAAATAAGTATAAAAATAAATTTTTTTTTGCTTTTTATTAAAATGATTTATTTTTATATTATGTGTGTGGGTATTTTGCCTATATGTATGTCTGTGTGAGGGTGTCATTCCTTGGAGCTGGAGTTACAGACAGTTGTGAGCTGCCATGTGAGTGCTAGTAATTGAACCTGGGTCCTCTGGAAGAGCAGATATTACTCTCAACTGCTGAGCCATCTCTCCAGCCCCCAATATAGTTTTTTTTTTTAAAGGCAAATGATGTTTTAGCATGACTGTGAAAACATTGACTTTCAAAAATGGTCTTTCAATGTTGATTAGATGGCTCACGCCAAAGCACACTTGCTGAATGTGCTGAATTCTGATGACCTGAATTCCATGTCTAGAATCTACTGTGAAGAAAGAACCAATTTCTAACAGTTCTCTGGACATACTCACACCATAGGCATATGTAGGCCTGCAAGCACAAGTGTACATACACACCACCACCACCACCAGCAACAACTAAATAATTGGGGGTGGGTATTTTGAGATTCTCGGTAAGAGATTGTGCTTTTAGGGATAGTTGGTATAGCCTTTTATATAGGTTTGCTTCCAGACCCAGGTAGATGAATCAGGAATGAAGAAGCAGCAGTTAATTGGGGTATATCATTAAGAAAATGAGGCAGCATGAGAAAGGAAAAACTTTATTGAGGGAAGGAAGTGAATTCTGAATTTCCAAGGATGAGAGGATTAGAAAGTTGATTAGTGCAGCTCAGAAAAAAAAAGGTTTTTTTTGAAAGTTAGTGGTCCTCATACTGTAGTTGTTGTTGCTAAGGAAGTGAGTTGAGGTGAAGGGGTCTTGGGCAGTACCAGCATCTTAGGGGTTTGAAAGGAAGGAGAGAGTAGAATTACAATGCCAAGAATATTGGGAAAGGAAATTTCAAGAAAGTCCACACTACCTAATGCTTAGGGGAAAGTCAGAATGGGACTGTTGATTTAGTAATAATTTGATAATGATATTACTAGTTAACTTTCCTAGAGTGCGGTAGTGGTAGAAACTTAAGTTCTAGAGGAGTGAAGAATGCAAAGGCAACTGTAACTAGTCTTTTGAAGTGTTTTGGGGGAAAGGGGAGAGAGTTATGTTGGGCTGTTAATTTAAAGACAGATTTACTCTGAAAATAGCCCAGTAGAAAAGGTGCTATGTGAAAGAAAAGAAAATTAATGAAGCAAATAGATGTTACAGTGTGATGTAGTTAACCTGGTAATAACAATCTGAATTTGTAAGGAAGAAGCTAATGAAAACTGGATTCCTGGCCAGGAAAGTAACATAGATCCATGAGATTCGGCATAGACTTTATGAGAATAAGAAATTTTTTTTTCTTATATTGCTGGGTAGTCGTCTTTATATGGTTATATTAAATCTAGTAATTTAACATTTAAAGAGGTTTTCTTTTTCTCCCCCCTCTTTTTGGATTTTTGAGACAGGATTTCTCTTGTACAGCCCTGGCTGTTCTGGAACTCACTGTGTAGACCAGGCTGGCCTCAAATGAAGATCCTCCTGCCTCTGCCTCCTGAGTGCTGGGATTAAAGGCATATGCCACCAGTACCTGGCAAAGAGATTTTATTTTTAAATGCAGGTAATTGTAACCATTTGTGATTATTTCAGAATAAGACTTTATTTATTTATTTATTTTGACAAAATTGAATCTGTGATTAACAAGTGATGTAAAGGGTAAAGTTATTTTCTTGTGCAAAGATTGTATTCCTCTCCTTCCCCTAGGTGAAACACATCTGAAGGCTCCAGAATGGTTCCATAGTTAAAGTCTCTCTTTTTTTTTTTTTTTTTTTTTTTTTTTTTTTTTTTTTTGTTCGGAGGCAAAGTTTGGACAATAGCCTCAAGTGGTGCTTCTGTTGAAAATGCGTGTTGTTTTTGAATGTGCTTGTATTTCTGACTTCCTTTTTTCTCTCTCTTTCAGTCTGTTCTCAGGGGAGGCAGCAAGGGGCCGTGGAGCTGGCCTCAGCACTGGGAGAGGCTGGACTTCCTGTCTCTCTGTGCTGAATGGCTGCGATGGCGCCCGCTCTCACTGACGCAGCAGCTGAAGCACACCACATCCGGTTCAAACTGGCTCCCCCATCCTCCACCTTGTCCCCTGGCAGTGCCGAAAATAACGGCAACGCCAATATCCTTATATCTGCCAACGGAACCAAAAGAAAAGCCATTGCTGCAGAGGATTCCGGTCTAGACTTCCGAAATAATCCTACCAAGGAAGACTTGGGAAAGCTGCAACCATTGGTGGCATCTTATCTCTGCTCTGATGTAACATCTGTTCCGGCAAAGGAGTCTTTGAAATTACAAGGAGTTTTCAGCAAGCAGACAGTCCTTAAATCTCATCCTCTTTTATCTCAGTCCTATGAACTCCGAGCTGAGCTGTTGGGGAGACAGCCAGTTTTGGAGTTTTCCTTAGAAAATCTTAGAACCATGAATCCAAGTGGTCAGACAGCTCTGCCGCAAGCGCCTGTGAACGGGCTGGCTAAGAAATTGACTAAAAGTTCAGCACATTCGGATCATGACAATTCCAGTTCCCTCAATGGGGGAAGACGGTCCCTCACTTCATCTGCTCTGCAGGGAGGTGAAGTGGGAGGATCTGACTCTGGGAACTTGAAGGGGGGTATGACCAATTGCACTCTTCCACATAGAAGCCTTGATATAGAACACACAACTCTATATAGCAATAATAGCACTGCAAACAAATCTTCTGTTAATTCCATGGAGCAGCCGGCACTTCAAGGAAGCAGTAGGTTATCACCTAGTACAGACTCCAGTTCTAACTTGACAAATGTTAAGTTAGAAGTCAAAAAGTCTCCTCTGTCTTCCATTCTTCTCAGTGCTTTAGACTCTGACACAAGGATAACAGCTTTACTGAGGCGGCAGGCTGATATTGAGATCCGTGCCCGCAGGTTACAGAAACGATTACAGGTTGTGCAAGCCAAGCAAGTGGAGAGGCATTTACAGCACCAACTGGGTGGATTTTTGGAAAAGACATTGAGTAAACTGCCAAACTTGGAATCCTTGAGGTCTCGGAGCCAGTTGATGTTGACCCGAAAGGCTGAAGCTGCCTTGAGAAAAGCTGCCAGTGAGACTGCCACTTCAGAGGGACTTAGCAACTTCTTGAAAAGTGATTCAATTTCAGAAGAATTGGAGAGATTTACAGCTAGTGGCATAGCCAATCTGAGGTGCAGTGAGCAAGCATTTGATTCAGATGTCACGGACAGTAGTTCAGGAGGGGAGTCTGATATTGAAGAGGAAGAACTGACTCGAGCTGATCCTGAGCAATGCCATGTACCCCTGTGAGTAGAACCTGTGATGATGCAGTCATTCTTGAAAAATGTTGGCAAGATTTAAGTAAATCCGCATTTTGTAAAGAATATATTTCTTGTATATTGACAACTAGATTGCATTAATCATTTCCTAGTTTTAGGTAAGTAAATGCATAAACCTGAAGTGGAAAAACAGAAGGCATTTCTGCTATAATATTGTGTTGCTGTGTGCTAAAAGTTTTTAAGTCTTACTAGAAAGAAACTAGAAAACATAACTGAGTAGATTTCTTTTGAAACTGTAGAACATTTTAAACTTTAATGTGTGACTTGACATTTTGTTGTTTCTAGGAAGTTGGGACAAGTGATGATTTAGTTAAATTGGTTGAAATTTATAGTGCTTTCCGTTGTACTTTCAGCATACCTGGTCTACCATTTTAATGAGAGTTTCTTTGTGTTGGAAAAGCAAACCTGTTTCCCTTTTGCTTTGAACTCTCTTAACAGTTAACATAGAGAATACATCCATGACCATAAATAGTTTTGACGATGTCTCCCTGTCAGCAAGCAAGCAGTCACCTGTAGTAGATAGCAACTGATTGTCTTGCAATTTAATTTTATTTTTGATACTTCTAGAGGTAATTGTGCCAGATCTCATAGTAGCAGGATATGGTCTTCAAGATTGCCCCCCTCCTCCCCAAGTACTGCTTCAGATTCCAGTTGCAAACCCCAGATTGTTTTTATCTGTGCTTCTGACTACTTGGCTATAAACCAGTATTCTTGTTTTGTTTTTGTTTTTCGAGACAGGGTAGTTTTGGTTCCTGTCCTGGAGCTTGCTCTATAGACCAGGCTGGCCTCGAACTTACAGAGATCCACCTGGCTCTGCTTCCCAAGTGCTATAAATCAATATTCTTAAAATTTAGTACTCACATTTGACTAATTTGACTGTGCAACTCAATACTCAGAAACTATGTCTTAATATTTACCATTTTTGTTGTTGTAAATGGTATTACAAAGAAAACAGATGAATACATGCCTATGGATGAGATGTGAGGAAGGGAGGTGTAGAGATCAGTACCTTGTCTGGACTTTTCTAGTCTCTAGGAACTTGAGTCCAACTATCCTGCCATTCTAGACTCTGTCCTTTTTGTTTTTTATGGGGAAATTTGGTTAGATAGGTCTAAAATCATAATTACCTAAGTTGTCACTGGGGATGATATTTATTCCCTTTCATGTCTATCTGGTTGGTGAGAGCGAAAATTCCAATGGTCTAAACACACCTTTGTCTTCCTGGTGACTACCTTCATCTTAAAGTTACTTCTGGATGCTAGCCATTAATCAGTTCAACCTTTGAAAAAGACTATCACTTTGGAGAGCCCAAGGATTCTGGTAGTTTGGTGCCGAGAGCAAAGACCAATATGTATTTTACAGTATCATGTTCTAAGGACTAATTAGAAAATACTGCAGAATATTTTAAACATTGCCTTTTTACATAATCCACTTTTTACTTCTTGATTCTGTTCTTTAAACACTGTGTGTGTGCTTGCACGTGTGTGTGTGTGTGTGTGTGCACATATGTATGTATATATATAATTTATTTTTTGTTTTATCTTAGTAAAATTTTTTTTAGATATTATTAAAAGTATATTGTAGCCTGGCAGTGGTGGTACACACCTTTAATCCCAGCACTCAAGAGGCAGAGGCAGGTCGATCTCTCTTGAGTTCAAGGCCCGCCAGGGCTATACAGAGAATCCCTGTCTTGAACACCCCCCTCCCCCCCCCCACCACCAATTGTATTGTGAACCATGTATGTGCCTGGTACCTTTGGCGGTCAGAAGAAGACATGTGGAATCCCCTGGAATTGGAATTACAGACTGTTACAAGCTGCTGTGTGTGTGTATCAGGAAACTGGGTTCTTTGCAAGAACAGCAAGTGCTCTTAACCACTGAGCTGACTCTTAAAGCTTTTGTTCTTGTTTTGTGAAACCATTCGTAATATACAGCATAGGCTGGCCTTTATTCAAAATCATCCTGTCTCAGTCTTAAGAGAATTACAGGTGTATACCACCACACCCAGCTGGATATGTGTTTTGTTTTGTTTTGTTTTCAATTCAGGAAAATTAATGTATTACGTATTTTTTGTTTTAGATAAAGTTTTACTGTTTTCCAAATTTGTTAGTTTTATCAAATAAAATACATAATCTCCTCAGGATAGCATACTACTCTTTTTCTTCTCTCTCTCTTTCTCTTCTCTCTCTCTCTCTCTCTCTCTCTCTCTCTCTCTCTCTCTCTCTCTCTCTCTCTCTCTCTCTCTCTCTTTTTTCCCCAAAACACAAGTTTTCTCTGTGTGTAGCCCTGGCTGTCCTGGAACTTACTCTGTAGACCAGGCTGGCCTCAAACTCAGAGATACCCACCTGCCTCTGCCTCCACCTCCCGAGTGCTAGGATTAAAGGCATGCACCGTTCGTTACCATCCAGCTCAGCTATTTCTCTTCTTACATTTATATACTTAAGGAAACATACTTGAAGGTGACTTAATCTACCTTTACTTTTTGTGGGTGTGGAAGGAGTGCTTTTGAGACAGGTTTTCTTTGTTTCACAGCTCTGGGTGTCCTATAACTGGCTTTGTGAACCAGGCTGGCCTTGAACTCAGAGAAATCTGCCTGCCTCTGCCTCCCGAGTGCTGGGATTAAAGGCATGCGTCGCCTGCCCAGCCTACGTTTAATCTTTGTGTGTTAGATTTGTGAGAACAGAGACAAAAAGACTTGGGAAAGATGGGCTATATATTTGAAAGTAGATCTACTTCTTTTGCTGGAGATGTACAGTCTGCTGTACTAGACAAGGCTGAATGTATAGAGATGCTTAAAAATAGTTTCTCCTTGATGCTAATAAAAAGGTGATTCATTTCCATTGGAGAGTTTGAGTGTTGAGATAGCTATGCTTTTAGTTAGTGAATTAGCTGCTTCATTAAGTTTGTTTATATTATGGACATGGATAATACTATGTATCTGACAGGAAACTTTAAGGGTCCATGCCTGTCTTCCAACCTTTTTTAAAAGATATAACAGTCACTGCATTTGAAACATTGTAAATCATATGAACTTACTTTGTTTATTTAATTAAAAAACAAAAAACAAATATGTTCAGCCAGCATGGTGGTATACACTTAGTTCCAGCACTCAGGCAGAGGCAATTGGATTTCTGTGAGTTCAGGGCCAGCCTAGTCTATATAGTAAGTTCCAGGCCAGCCAGCTAGGGCTACATAGACTCTGTCATGTTTCCAAAATTTTAAAACAAACATATTAATCTGTATGCTTACTGTGTTCAGGATATATTACATTGAAAGCTTTTTTTGTGTTTTTGTAAGAGTATTTATTTGTGTTTTTAAGAGTATTTTTTTTTTTTTTTTTTTTTTTTTTTTTTTTTTTTTTTTTTTTTGGTTTTTCGAGACAGGGTTTCTCTGTGTAGCTTTGCGCCTTTCCTAGAACTCACTTGGTAGCCCAGGCTGGCCTCGAACTCACAGAGATCTGCCTGGCTCTGCCTCCCGAGTGCTGGGATTAAAGGGTGCTGGGATTAAAGGTGTGCGCCACCACCGCCCGGCTTATTTTGGTTTTTTGAGACAGGGTTTCTCTGTGTAGTTTTGGTGCCTGTCCTGTATCTCTCTCTCTCTCTCTAGACCAGGCTGGCCTTGAACTCACAGAGATCCTCCTGGCTCTGCCTCCCGAGTGTTGGAATTAAAGGCGTGCACCACCAACGACCATTAAGAATATTTTAATCCAGTGTGAAATCTTGATTAAGAGGGCAGAAAATATGACTTAGTGGTTGAACATTTTTGTAGCATGCACAAAGGCCCTGGATTCAATCCCTAGCACTCCTCACTCCCACATAAACAAACCACAACCAAAACCAAGTTAACAATCCTCAAGTAACAACAAAAGTACCCAAGGAGAGAACTTAATCTATAGGATAATCTAGTCATTGAGACATATACAAGCTTCCATTGGTTTGGAATTTTGGAGGAGTGTACCTTTTTTTTTTTTTTTTTTTCTCTTCCCAAGACAGGGTTTCTCTGTGTGGCCCTGGTTGTTCTGGAACTAGCTCTGTAGACCAGGCTGGCCTCAAATTCAAGAGATCCACCTGCCTCTTAGTTTGTAATACTGGGATTAAAGAGATGCACCACCACCGACTTCCTGGCAAGGATTGTACTTTGTGGGGGTGGGTTGGGGAGATAGGGTCCTTTTCCTACCCTGAGTGCTGAGATAACAGGTGATGCTGCTGTGCCTTAGGAGTTTCTGAGAGCACACTGGGCTTTGTGCACTAGGGATAAGTACACACTACCAGCTGAGCTACTTCCCAGCCCAAAGAGTGAGTATCCTTTTAAGCTTCCTTCCTGGATTCATGTTGTTTTTCTGTTCTTGTTTCATGGTTCACTTTTGGGCTTAATTTATGCTAACCTGTATTTTATTTGTGCAGTATCCTTCTGAAGACTTACTTCAAATCAGTTACCTCCAGATAAGCTTGCTGGTGTGCAATTCAAGGCAGTGAAGTCCCTTGAATTTTGGATGTTCTTGATTGCGGTGGAACTTGTGTAATAGAGTGGCTTTCTAGAATTTTGTAGGTATTGTGGTTTGTTGTTTGTTTTTTAAGGTACTCTGAAATGCTGTATATTATAGTTCCTCTTTGAAATTAAAGATGCAGAGATGCTGCTGCCAAAAGTGGCAGTCAGATTGTTTTGTTATTTTTCTATGCTTTCATTTCCACAGTGATAAGGTAGAAGAAAACTCAGCCAGAGGGACTAAGTTGTATCTCTGATAAATCATCTATTGGTGGTGGTGGTGGTGAATATGAGCAAAATACATTGTATAAATTCTCAAAGAACTAAAAACAAAAAGACAAAAATACTGGCTCTAGGACTAAGTATGATTACTTTTTTTAAAAAAAAAAGTAGTCCGTTGAAGCTATTGTGTTTCTTGCTATTTGATTTGCTCAACATCTTAAATTTAATACCTCTTCCTTTTCTATGATCTGTGTGTGAGAC